CGCCAGCCAGCCAGCCGCGCCCGAGGCCGGCCCGCGCCCCTCGTAGTAGGTTTCAAGTGCTCAGGCCGGCTCCCAGGTTTTCAAACGGTATCACAAAGCACATCTTCCTCTTCGTCTAAATGTGCTGAATCCGACACTGACCTTGGAAATGGTCTTCGACCAATACAGCGGCGTCAGGGTGTTGCCAAAGTCCGTCAGGCGGGTTCTTACGGGAAAAAAGCTGGGACTCCAGGGCGCCCTTCTCTCATGATCCGCCTCGCCGCAGGGCTGCATGGCATAGCTCGTCGCGCTTATACGATCTCAGTACTTGCAAACTATAACGCTATAACTGAAAAGACTACTAGGAACACGTCTTTATATGAGTACATGTACCCTATTTGTTTCACTGCATTTTTTGAACGTTTGTGATGATTATTATTTATTGCATAAATTATTTATCTATTGATAGGGCAGCACGTTTTTTTGTTCAAACCTGTCACCACATAGAGGTCAAAATTATTGCTGCGCCACCTAGGGCAGCTTGGTGGCGATCCAGGGCAGCCTGCCGTACCGTCGATACCGCCAGAAGTCGAAGGCCAGCTTGGCGAGCACGGCCGCCAGGGACACGCCCAGCGCCGCGTTCAGCAGGTCCAGGGCCGACACCCGCGGCTCCCCCTCCTCGCGGCAGACAGCGCGCCGACTCAACGCGTGTATCTGGAGGGCAAGGACGGGACGGCGTAAAGAAGGAAAATAATCGTTTCACTAAGAATATCTTCCATAAGGGTTTACCTTCTTCATCGAATTGTCGTCACCCTCGACGGCGGCGCAACGGATATCATCCCAGTCCTGAATGAGGGGCTTGTATTTGGCAAGCAGTTCCTTTCGGGAGGCCAAAGAGTGAGTATTTATGTAGAGGAAGTCGGGGTGAAGAGGAGCTTTCAGACGAACCCTTTGACCTCATTTACCTGGAACGTGGGCGTGAACTGGCAGTCACATCGCCAGGGGTTGAGCCCGAGGTACACCCTGACCACGTGGTCGTTCCTCTCCAGGGCGTTGTCCAGGGCATAAGTCGGCAGCTGGGTCGAGGAGTTGAGGGAGAACAAATGTAACTTTAGACGCACCAAACCATGTCAAGGAGCCAGCTTACCTGTTCGAGCTTGTTGGCCCTCAGGCTGAGCACCCTAAAGTTGGCCAGCCAAGGCGACCCCTCGAGGTCGGCGATGGACTCCACTTGGTTGTCGTCCAGGTACACGTCGAGGACGCTGGCGTGAAGGTCCACAAGGGGTCGTACGCTCGTAATCTGGAACCGGACGGCCGGACGGCGCACTTTCACTGTATATGTACTTGACTATTTACATCGTCCCAGGTACAAATTTAATCCGGACAAGAATGATCCTCGAAAAAAGCTCCAGCCCTCCAGCCTGCTCGTGACCGAACCCAACCCGAAGGGTAGGTGTAGGTATACCTTGTTCCCTCGCAGCAGCAGCGTGGTGGTGTTGGCGGGCAGGCGCCCCGGGATGGCGCCCAGGCTGCGGTGGCTGCAGTTGACCGTGATGATGGGCAGGAGCTCGCCGCCGCCGCCGCCCCCGGGGTCGCGGGGCGCGCCTCGGGGCGCCTCCCTCGCGTCCCTGACGACGCCCGTCAACTCGCAGGAGCACGGGTTGCTGGCCGGGCACTCGTCGGACACGCGCTGAGGTGGGGGGCGCCAGCGTCACTCGTCATTAGCTCCTGCACCTCACACCACGGCTACTTTGGCTGTCCGTTGAGCGCACCTTGAGCAGCGTGAGGACGGGCAGGACGGGCCTCCGGGGCCAGAGGGCCGCGCCGCACTGCATCCCGTCCGCGTCCGCGACGAGCCGGCGGGCGGCGGGCTCCGCCAGCCAGGCCAGCCTCAACGTGCACCGCCACGGGTTGCCTGGATCAACAAGTGCATGAGCATGCCCTTCTCACTTCATGTTTTCTCCGAGTCAACCCAGAACACTCGAGGTGCACCAGTGCGGTCGAACTCTGGCCGCTCCGATTCCAAGTGGGAAAAACAATGTCACAAGGGGGAAAAATCGACGTCGAAACTTCACCGTTTTTACGGCATTTCATGATAGGGCAACTCACCGGCGAGGAGTAGCTGCTGGAGGCTCGGCAGGCGCAGCACGCAGGTCCTGTCAAGCGAGCTCAGGAGGTTGCGGCTGAGGTCCAGGACGCGCAGGCGCCGCAGCCCCATGAAGATGTCGTCGCCGACCCAGGTGAGCCCCAGCCCGGACAGCACCAGCTCCTGCAGGTGCTCGTGGTACGGGAAGTCCAGCACCTCGGTGATGTTGCTGTCGGAGAGCCGGAGGCGCTCGAGCCGCTCGAACATGGTCAGCATGCTGGGGTCGAACGTGTCCTCCGGCCAGTAGCAGAGCACCAGGGCCGTGGTCTTCTTGTGGCTGCGGGGCAGCGGGGACGGCTCGGTGAACAAACATGGCGCACGAGTGCTCAGGGCCCCGTGACTTGTACCAACCTCCGTGTCCGCGAGATCTTGTGGAGTCCGCCGGAGCAGACCACCCGGTTGCCGTCGCCAATCGAGCGCACGCTGACCTCGCAGCGGCCCGGGCGCTGCAGGCCCGGCTGGCAAGGGGGGTGGCGGTGACCGCCCTGCGCCTGGTGAGCCTGATGCCCCGGCTTGTCAGCGGCTGCCACCGGGACGACGGGGAGGTGCACGGCCACGGCGTTCACAGGCGCGCTGCCCCACTCCGAGAGGGGCTGCGTCGGCGTCGCGTGGAGGAGCGTGGTTGGCCAGGGCGGTGACGTCCCCGTCGGGGCGGGGCGAGGGGTCGCGTCGAGAGAGTTGGGCACGGGGAAGGCGGGTATGTTCGCCTCGAGATGTCTGTCGACAAGGTCAGTAACCAGGAGGGCGCCGCCGCGTGTGTCCGTCACCAGGGCCGAAGGCGTCGTCGGGATGCCCGCCGCGGTAGAGTCCGCCTGCTGCAGCGGCCCGCCAACTGAGGAGCCATTCTCCAGGTGGAGCTCAGGGCGGACGTGTACGACGACCGCCTCGAGGAGGAGCACGGCCAGAAACCTGAGCATCAGGGGTGATACCGAAGGTGATACTTTCCTAAGTTTCCGTCGCGCCACCGCGCGCCGCGCACCTCGTCCCGGCTGCTGCAGGTGCACAGGCGCTGCTTTATCAGAGAAACAACTTTACTGGACGGGCCGACAGATTTACGACGAGTCGTGTGCTCAAACACAAAGACCGTCCCGCGCACCACAGCACCATGACAAAATTTAGTAGAAACGCACCTTTGAGTCTTTTCTAACCACCGTTGCCCTCATCCACCCCACCCTCCCTGCTCCCCGCTTGCTTCACCCCTCCCCCAGATTCCAAAACACTGCATTGACCGATCTAAACGACCGATGGCAAAAACAAATGAAGCAGGCGTGTTTCTCAGTCATTCCGCTGCCTAGGATGTTTGGACTCGGTGTGGACCGGCCAGCAGGCTGAGCTGTAAAGGATTTCTCATACTCACCGCACCTGAAGCAGCCCCATGTGCAGCCCCATGTGCAGCCCCCATCAAGCCCCGTTGTGCGGAGCCCAAGGCGGAGCTGCACTCCTCTCCGAGCCTCACACTGAGCAGGGCGCGACGCCCCGCCCGCGAGCACCTGACGAGGGGGGCTAATGAGACCCCCCCACACGACAGTGCGAACAAACCTCGGCAGGACAAACGGGGGCAGAAGGTGGAGAACAGGGAGAAGGCGCGGAGAGGGCCAGGACTCGGAGGCAGCCAGGGTGCAGCTTGTCGAGGACACATAGGCAAGGGCCAAGCAAGCAGTGCCCCTCCCGAGCGGGGGAACCCGAGCACACGAACGCCCCCGTGAGAGAGCGGCCGGGATACTGCGAGAGCGTGAGCCTAGAGCACACATCTCGTGTGATAGCCCGGCGGGCCACAGCCGGCCACACCACATCCGAAAACGGCACTGCTAAACGCCGGGAAGGGAGGAGATAAACAATTATTTGCAAGTGAAAAAGTCGCCATTAACTTTTTATTCCTTTACTAATTGTTTTATTTACAATTGAGTTTGAGGTTTTTACATGAGAGAACAATAAAAATTATTGCAAATGGAAAAATGCGGGAGATGAATCAGGGTGAATGCAGTAATTATAATCACAATAAATAAATATAACTGTGGAAGAGTGTGGCTCCTATGCTACAGTCGGACAAGTTAGCTTTTCGTGTAGATAATGGCAGTCGAAGAATGCTTGGCAAACGTCAATCCAGGAGACTGCACGTTGTACGACCCTTGCGCCAGCACAGCACCTTCAAAACAAAGCATGAATTATGGACAAATAATTTTAAATAAAAATCTGTTGCGCTACGAAAAGTGGGAGTCAAGGGAAAAATTATTGGAAAGAGTGACAGAATTAAATAAACAGAGAAACTGTGTTTCTACACAACCTGTGGCGTCCACGCACTTCCGCGTCACGGTGCCCTGGCCGTTGAGGGTGCTGGAGTTGACCTCGCAGCGCACGCCGTTGCCCGGCGGGCACTTTAGGCCGTCGCAGTTTATCGAGCCTGCAAAACAAACCGGAACCGGTCCTGTAACGCACTTGTAGGGCACCGCACGCACTGCACTGGGCTTAGCCGGCGTGGCGTGGCGTGGCGAGTCGAGGCGAGCAGTGAGCATTCCCTGGAGAGCGCCGCGAGACCCCGCTCATAGCGACCAGCTGACTCGACTCGATCACCGATTCGATGAGCCACTGGGATCGAATGTGATCTCGCATTTTTCTGCCGAGAGTGGGGAGGGAAGCCCCAAGGAGGCGGACGTGGAGCCCGCGGCGGGGCGCGCGGGGCGGCGCCGCATGAGCCGATCGGACGCAAAATGTACCGCACTGACGGTTCACTGGGAATGCAAGAGTCACGGGCGTCACTACTGTCCCATAAGAGCGACGCATCGTTTCCAATTTGATTACTCTTGGAGAAGCGGCGTTTGCTTTCGTCGCTCTTTGGGTGATGATTTTCGAAACATTGCTTCATTTGAATTACGCACTTCGCTCAAATGGAGCGACGAAAAACGAAACATCGCTCTCTAGTTGAGCAACCATAAATTCCGCCTTTCTTTTTTTAGAAAGGACACACCACTCCAGCAGTTCCAGTGTTGTCCTTTACATTCACTACCCTTTTGACCTGTTTTATTTTCTCACCGTCCTTGTCCGTGGTGATCATGGTGGAAGCGGCGTGGACCTCGCCTATGGCAAAAACTGCCACGGCCAAGACCAAAAGGGCGAGCTGACTTCTCATCTTGTAAAACCAATAATCTGAAAGAAAAAATAAAATGTACCAGGTGGCAAATTAACCCCGCTCACTTTTGTAGTTATGCTGTACCGCCCGCACGAGTGCGGGTTGGCTTGCCCATCGCCCCTGTCAACGGCGTCTTAGGGGCCGAGCGAGTAGGCAACCCGCCCGCACGAGTGCGTGCGGTACAGCATAACTACAGAATGAGCGGGGTTCATCAGCCACCTCTAGTATTTGCAAATATACGTATTATTTGCTCTCTCCAGACATAATTTGTTATTTCTTTCAATGACTGGTACCTATCACGACCAAACAGGCCAATGATTGAGCCAACAACCGACAGTCGTATGAGCTGCAGAAGCTGGTCTGTGCCTAGTGAAGTTAGGTCAGGGACCGTCCGCACGCATAGACTTCTCGCGGCCTTCCCCGATTACCGACGAAAATAAAATAATAAACATTTCTACACATGCGAGGAATGGACGCGTTTTCGAGGTCGCCCCCCGTAACTGCAGCGCCCGACGAGCAGACTTGCGCGGATGTTGCCGCCATGCGTCGTGCCGCCCTTGACCCGCGGGGACGCGGGCCGGCGCTGCCTAGAGCCGATAAGGCTGATCCGCGAGAGGCGGCGGTGAGACTCGCATGCACGCATCGGACACACACACACACACACACACACACACACACACACACACACACACAATTTGTTTTTCCTTTAGTCATCATTTTTTGGCAGAGAGCATCCCTGTGGGGGGTAGGCGGGGATTAAAAAAAATGGAACAATTGTTGAACTGCG